TCTCCTAGAGACATGAAGTTCTTTTACGTGCCGTAAATCTATGACACGGAACCCACGGCTTAAAGTCCCTCCCGGAGGACTTGTTCCCTGAATTTTTCCGCCCTTAAAAATTCTACGACCTCCGCCGGGTTTTTGAACCCACATACCTTGAGTCATGAGGTGGGAACGTTACCCCTAGACTACGGAGGCCACTAATATAACAGTTTAGTATATTATGTAGGACAGGGATCAGTTCAAGCAGAGTGATGTTGTTAGGTCATATAGCACACATGAGAATGAGAAATTTGTGCAAAGTTTTGGAGAGACTACATGAAAAAATGAGACAATTTGAGAGCTATTTATGCAGATGAATTTTAAAAATAATTTTTTGGGGGGGGGTGTTCCCACTGAGTTTGTTTATGTCAAGATGCAAAGTCAAGATGAGCATGTTTGAACACAGTAATGAGCCCTTAGGTACCATAAAGAGCAGTTATTTACTGTACTTCCACAGGGACCGTTAGTTTCTCAGGAAGGTCCTTGCATTATGAAGTCTGTAGAGGAGAAACCCATACAGAGCAGCCGTTATGGGTTAGATGTAATGAGAAACAGCTACAGCACGGAGAGCATACATTGTTTCATGTAAGGTGCTGTGCAGCCATGACTGATAAAAATATGATTTTACAGAACTATACAAATTCAGAGGAAGTTGTACTGGGTCCGTATGTTCAGATGTACCCAGCAAGTCATGGATCAAACCAGGCCTTGAATATAAAAGCTGAGGAAGACTCAGATCTACAAGAGGAAGTGGATCCTGTGCCAATAACAGATCAGGAAATAAAGGTTAAATGTGAGGTGAGCTGAATGTCTCTGTTTGTCTACTGTTAGGCAGATATCACAAATATGCAGAAATGTCAGTTGTCTTTCTCGTCTCAATCTGGCTGTCTGTCTGTGCACATGAAATAACTCCACTGTGCTTAGAAGACTTCTTTCTGAAGTGTTTCTATACAGTTACAGTTCGCTGAATGTTGCTTGTGATATACCACTGCCATATGGAAACTTCATATGGAGTTATGGCACTGTTCACAGTTTACTGGTATACTTATTAGAACCAAGAATTGTAATTGTAACCTAAGTCCAGTAAACCCCACAAAATATCACGTGAATAAGAAGTTTCAAGATTAAAATAGATTCTTCATTCTCTTGCAACAAGAGTGGCAAGAATTGCAGTTCATAGAGCTGAAGAAACATTTCCTGCTGAGAGAAAAGTCATTGTGTTTTGTTCTTGTGTAGACAGACAGCTTTATTGTCATAGTTATTTCCCTTGGGCAAAGAGCGCTGATATGTTTCGGCACACTTTACTCTTTTTTCATAATCCATCTGGGTAGTTTCTTATACTTGGTGTACACATTATAGCATTTTGCTATTGTAAGGGGTTTGAGCCACATGTCAGCAATGCAGTGGTAAACATACATCCACAACAATGGAAGATGGTGTTTTGCATGGGGTCTGTGCAAGGTAGTTATCATAAAAGCAAACGGCTGTACGATTCAGGTCTGAGTTCTTGGTAGAAGATAGCCATGGAATGTTCATCGACGTGTGAAGACTCAAGTGTGATTAGGAGGCTTCATTCATGTGTAATACGTGGAGTTTGTGATTCATTGAGTGTTATAGTTAATGTGTTTTAGTTGTAGGATGAGAGGACCAGTGTGTATGTCAACCAACAATAGCACAGTATTTGAATGTGATAAAGAGAACTTATGACCAAGGTGCTTATAAATCATCTGAGCTAGAACCCATCATTTTCCTGCTGTGTAGCACCCAACACGTGAATTGTACTGCCAGAAGTTGGCAGCTCGGATCATATTGGATTCTTCAGCAGTGGTCACGACTGTAAATACATGATTGCTGCTGTTAGATGTTTTTGGATTTGATCGATCGAACTGATTGTTGGATTGAAGACTTAATCACATATTGGCAGCGCTGTTGTGTGAAATGGAGGTGCAAGAGATGGAAATCCTGCTTGCCAGACTGGATGCCAGCAACAAGGAGATGATGGTCAGGAAAGAAGCAGAACTGGAAGCTATCTGAGCTGAAATGAAAGCCATGCAAAACAAGAGGATGGAAGTCAATAGGAATGCCTGGCAGAAAAAGAGGATGGCCTGTCAAAATGTGACGGAGGTACGTCTGCAATGCCAGGAGCCAACTCAGTAGACATGAAGGCCTGCCAAGAGACGACCGCCTGCTGTGAAATGATGGGGGCAGATACAGACAAGATTGAGCCTGATCGAGGGAAGATATACAGTCTGTATGTGAGGAACAAGAGGTACCCAAGGGAGAAGGTGCAGTGATGCCATTCAGAGGACTGAGGAAGCATTATAGGGACCTGAATCTGGCCACAGAACCTGCCAGAAGCCGAAGGAAAAGACATGGGGATATTGTAGATCCCAGAAGAGAGTGACTGCTGCCGGTAGGAGAATTATCCGCTGTGCAGGAGTGGCATGGCTTAGGAAAGGCATCATCAGAAAAATTGCATCAGGGCCAAGGTTGAGCAAGCAGTCTGTACAGTAGGGTAGCTCAGGAAGAGTTTAGAAACGCATCATGAAGGAAAAGATGGAATTATGGGTCTAGTTGGCAAGCAGCTGCTATGCCTGAGAAAGAAGAGGGCATCTGCAACTGCATCAGAAAATGGAGCTCAAGATGACTATCACCTCAGAGAAGAGGTGACTCTAGAGCTGGACTTCATGAAGCAAGCAAACAGGATGTCCATTGGGTTTGAGAAAATATGGAAATGGTCCTTGTGCAGAGGTCGGACCCATCCGAAACAAAAAAAAAAAAGGTTGTACATGGAGTAGGAGCCAGAAATGTGGGAGCACCAACCACTCAGGATATTTTTGCCCCACCAAAAGAAAAGTATAATATTGTGAGAACCTGAACTGGCTGGAACCCTATCATGGAGCTGGTTGGAACAAGCGCCCTTAAGGAGGGAGCTGATATAGCAGTTGGAGAGTTATTACCATACAGGAACCAAGCCACAAGGCAGTGACATCATGAGCAGAAATTTCAGAAGGAAGGAGCAGTGAGGTGCCGTTAGGCTATTCCCGAAGAACAGCCTTAAGGATGGATCCATGTAACATGGATGGCCAGAGCATTGGTAAGCAATGGCTCGGTAAGCAGACCTCAACAATAGGAAGACTATTCTGTGCGGTCTGTGGCGACCAAAAGCACAGATATAGGACGTCTGCTGACAGGCAGCGCATGGGTAAACATGCATCTACAACAGTGGTGACAGTGTTTGCCATGAATTCCATGCAAAGAAGTTATCTTAAGAACAAATGGTGCTACTGTTCAGTTCTGTCTTCTGAGTTCTCAGTAGACGATTACCATGGAATGTTTGTCGACCTGTGAAGACTTAAAAGTTGAGTAGAAGCCTTCACTTGTGTAATACATGCAGTTTGTGATTCAGTGAGACTGTTATAGTTCTTGCATTTTAGTTGTCGTAAAGGAGAGGACAGTGTGTGTGTGAATCAGTGATAGCGTTGTGTTAACTGTAATTAAGGGAGGTTGTAACCAAAATGCTAAACAGTCCCATCGTCTGAACTGGAACCCATCATTTTCATCTTGCGTACCACCCCATACATGACAGTATATTATGTAGGAGAGGGATCAGTTCAAGGAGAGTGATGTGCATAGGCCATATGTAAGAATGAGAAATGCATACAAAGTTTCGTTGAGAGAACCTGAAAGAATGAGACCGCTTGGGAGACATTTGACAGATGGATTTTAGAAATATAATTTTGTGGGTGTGGATGGTGTTTGTTTGTGTCAGGATGCGAAGTCATTGTGGACATATGTGAATACAATAAGTAACTAGCCCTTAGGTACCATAAAGAGCAGTTATTTTCTATACTTCCACGGGGACCATTACTTTCTCAGGAAGGTCCTTGCATTATGAAGTCTGTAGAGAAGAAACCCATACAGAGCAGCCGTTATGGGCAAGATGTAATGAGAAACAGCTACAGCAGGGAGAGCATACATTGTTTCATGTAAGGTGCTGTGCAGCCATGACTGATAAAAGGTATGATTTTACAGAACTATACAAATTCAGAGGATGCTGTACTGGGTCCATATGTTCAGATGTACCCAGAAAGTCATGGATCAAACCAGGTCTTGAATATAAAAGTTGAAGTCTCAGATCCACAAGAGGAAGTGGATCCTGTGCCAATAACAGTTCAGGAAATAAAGGTTAAATGTGAGGTGAGCTGAATGTCTCTGTTTGTCTTCTGTTAGGCAGATATCACAAATATGCAGAAATGTCAGTTGTCTTTCTCATTTCAATCTGGCTGTCTCTCTGTGCACATGAAATAACTCAACTGTGTGTAGAAGACTTTTTTCTGAAGTGTCTCTAGACAGTTACATTTTGTTGAATGTTGCTTGAGATTTACCACTGCCATTTTCTTTAAGCAGTTCTGATGTAGATGAAATTAAATATTGTGTAAACTGAATAATGTTTCAGAGAATTCTGTAGCAGGAAAACTTCATGTGGACTTAACGGCACTGTTCACAGTTAGTTACAGGTACACTTATTAGAACTAAAAATTGTAATTGTAAGCTAAGTCCAGTGAACCCCACAAAATATCATGTGAAGAAGAAGTAGTTTCAAGATTAAAATAGATTCTTCATTCTCTTGCAACAAGAGTGCCAATAATTGCAGTGCATAGAGCTGAAGAATCATTTCCTGCTGAGAGAAAAGTCATTGTGTTTCGTTCTTGTGTGCACAGACAAGAATTTTATTCTCATTTGTCAGTTCTCTTGGCCAAAGAGAGTAAGTAATTTGTGACACACTTCTCTCTTTTTTCATAATTCATCTGGGTAGTTTCTTATATTTGGTGTACACATTCTAACAGTGTCTTATATTATATAGGAGAGGGATCAGTTCAAGGAGAGTGATACGCATAGGCCATATGTAAGAGTGAGAAATGCATACAAAGTTTCATTGAGAGAACCTGAAAGAATGAGACCACTTGGGAGACATTTGTCTGATGGATTTTAGAAATATAATTTTGTGGGTGTGGATGGTGTTTATTTGTGTCAGGATGCAAAGTCATTGTGGACATATGTGAATACAATAAGTAACAGCCCTTAGGTACCATAAAGAGCAGTTATATTCTGTACTTCCACAGGGACCATTAGTTTCTCAGGAAGGTCCCTGCATTATGAAGTTAATACCCTCTAAGTTTATGAAGTGTTGTAGAGAAGAAACCCTGTTATGGGCAAGATGTAATGAGAAACAGCTACAGCACGGAGAGCATACATTGTTTCACGTAAGGTGCTGTGCAGCCATGACTGATAAAAATATGATTTTACAGAACTATACAAATTCAGAGGATGTTGTACTGGGTCCATATGTTCAGATGTACCCAGAAAGTCATGGATCAAACCAGGTCTTGAATATAAAAGTTGAGGAAGACTCAGATCCGCAAGAGGAAGTGGATCCTGTGCCAATAACATTTCAGGAAACAAAGGTTAAATGTGAGGTGAGGTGAATGTCTCTGTTTATCTACTATTAGGCAGATATCACAAATATGCAGAAAGTCAGTTGCCTTTCTCATCTCCATCTGTCTGGCTGTTTGTTTTATTTTGGGGGCTGATTATAAATTTTGTAAATTATTTTGTGATTGAACGGAACTGTTGATCCATCTATTTCAGTGTTTTTACTTGGCACAAAACTTTTCTGAAACTGGTTCTCTGTATCTTCTATCACATCCCCACACGCATCAACCAGATTTTCTGTGATAAATGGTCTTTGGACATTAAGTCACCAAAAAATTGTATCTGTGGTTTCCCCTCACTAGACCAGTAGTCTTTTATGACAGGTAATGGAATTAGGCCCATATTTATAATTAGACCTAAAAGCCACTTCACTACAGGAACAGACACATCAGACCACCTACTCCAAATGCACGACGGACTTAGCTGAAGTTCGGCAGTTTTGTGTCTCATGTACCGGTTTGCCTCAATAACAATATTATTCAGTAGTTCATCATTGAAAAATAAGCTAAAATAATCCATGGGCTCTGCATCTGGCATAAGGTTAAATTATGGCCCTGCATTTTTGGTAAATGTGGAGTCCTTGGGTTCTTGTTGCCCATTGTCACACGTTCCCACTCGCCAACACTCAACAACACTTGTTTAACTCTCACTTTCACTTCCTGATATTTCGTTTCTCGATTCTTCATTAGCAGTTTCTTCTTAAAATTCCAAATCAATCTCATCATCAGAGTCAATATTCTGTTCTTCATTTAACATGTCACTAATAGATACTTCATTTGCGACACAGGGGATTATATATCAGTTTTTTTTCAATCCAGAGGGCGGAAGTTCGGTCAAATGTGTGTGTACAAACACGTGACACACTGTAATATATAAATGGCATTCATTCCTTAAGAAGTTCAAATTATGACTTCCGGATGGCAGAAGAAGGCAGACTAAATATTCATGAATGCATTGGCACAGAATACAGTGGCCAGTAATGACATACAAGCGACATATGACCGGAGAAACAACTTCGTCTATCATATATTGACATTCGTCCATGTAAGCCCTGCCACCATGTCCAATTACGTATCGATATATGACTGGAAATTGTTGTTATACCTGACACTGTTGGAGTTCCATCTCTACTTGCCATCAGGTGACTGGTTGATGTGACAAATTTTTGTCATTTTCTATCAGAAAGGAGAATGACTAAAAATTAGATACAGAGAATGTGTGGGAGGTATAAAAGTCAATAAATAGTAAAGAAAGGGCATTGGCAACACATCATAAAACATAGACATCATTATGGTCAAATGGAATATACAGTGGATGTAATGAAACACATAAAAAAGGGCTATTAATGAACACCATGTTAGGTGAGTTCTTGTCACCATGGCATGGTGTGTCCTCCGATTGCAGATGGAGGAGATGGCCTCCAGATGTGGAGGGTAGTTGTGAATATATTGAATAAGAAGTTGGAGACAGCTGACAAGGGGTGGTCCTCCATGTTATGGGTTAGTTGCATGGCTGACAACTCACCGTAAAAAATCAGGTTGTTACAAAATGTCAAAAAGGGCCTTGGACCTGGACAGATTCTTTGGTTAATGATCTAAGCTAAATAAAATGGACCTGAGATTTGGGACATGGAATGTGAGAAGTATGTATAGGGCAGGTTTACTCAGGACAGTGGCAGAAGATATATCAAAATATAAGTTATATTTCGTGGGGGTACAGGAGGGTAGATGGACAGAGGTGGCACTGAACCAGAAGGTGAATATACATTTTTCTGTGGAAAGAGGAGTGATATTCATGTAGGTACAGATGTTTCATACATAAGAGAATCATATCAGCATTTAAGAGCATAGAGTTTGTTAGTGATAGAGGTCATATGTACACATATTACTAGGGGATCGCTGATGAGATATCTACCTTCTGAATAGCCATGCCCCAACAGAGGATAAAATTTATGATATAAGGGCAGCTTTTATAAAGAACTAGAACATATATTTGATAAATTCCCTAAATACCATATGAAAATTTTGTTAGGAGATTTCATTGACAAAGTAGATGGGGAAGACATTTTCAAGCCAGCAGTTCGGAATGAGAGTTTGCATGAAACTAACAGTGATAATGGAGTTAGAGTGGTAAAATTTGCACACATCCAAAAATCTGACTGCCAAAAGTATGATGTTCTCACATCATAACATTCATAAATTTACTTGGAAATTTCATGATGGAAAGAAGCACAACCAGATTGACCATATTTTGATAGACAGGAGACTGCATTCAAGTCTACTTCATGTTTTATCGTTTAGGACAGCAGATTGTGATACTGACCACTATCTGGTGGTGGTGGAAGTTAGGGAGAGACTGTCAGTGAGTATACAAACAAAGCACATAGTTCATATTGAGAGGTTCTGTCTCAAGAAATTAAACGAGGTAGAAGGTAAAGAGCAGTACCGTGTTGAAATCTCAAATAGGTTCGCAGCTTTGGAAAACTTAAGACACAGAGAGCCTGTGATATTGTTATAAAGAATATAAAAATTTCATCCAAAAAGATTCTAAATTATATTGAACTGAAGAAGCATAAGTCATGGTTCAATGAAGTAGGTCAAAGGAAACAAGCCAAATTGCAGTGGTTACAGGATCCAAGCGAAATGAATGTGTGTAAGCTGAACAATATAAGACATAAAGTCAGCGGGCACTTCATGAATAGAAAGAGGGATTATCTGAAAGACAAAATTGATGAGCTTGCAACCAACAGTAAGCACAAGAACATTTTATAGATGTGTATAGAGGAAGAAATTAATTTAAAGGGCTTATCAACCTCTACATAACTTGAATGTCAATGAATGTATGTACAAGGGGTGGGCCTTCTTGGCCCTTGCGCTGCGACCTACAGTGGTCTGTTGTGCTTTATATGTAATTTAGTGAAGGATGAGAATGGTGACCTGCTTTCAGAATCTCACAACATTTTGATTAGTGGAAGAACTACTTTTCTCAGTTATTGAATGTATGTAGGATCAGTGATGTTAGGCAGACAGAAATCCATACAGCTGAGCCGTTAGTACCTGATCCTAGCCCTTTTGAGGTTGAAAGTGCTATTACAAATTTGAAAAGGTATAAAATGCTAGGAAATGATCAAATTCTGGCAGAAGTTATTCAGACTGGAGGCGAAATATTATGTTCTAAGATCCATAAGTTAATTCTGTTTGGAAAAAGGAAAAATTTCCTATTCAGTGGAAGGTGTCAATTATTGTACCAGTTCACAAGAAGGGTGATAAAACTGACTGTAGAAATTATCAGGGAATATCACTGCTATCAATTTCATATAAAATTTTGTCCAATATTCTTCTTTCAAGGTTAAGTCCATATATAGATGAAATTATTAGGGATCATCAGTGTGGGTTTTGACATAACAGATCAACAACTGATCAGAACTCTTGCATTTGTCAGATCTCACACTCACTCACTCACTCACTCACTCACTCACTCACTCACTCACTCACTCACACTCACTCACTCACTCACACTCTCTCACTCACTCACTCACACTCACTCGCTTGCTCGCTCACTCACTCACTCTCATTCACTCGCTCACACTCACTCACTCACAGAGCTGAGCCCTTCTTGAGAAGTTGCCAGTTGTGCAGCTGTTGAAGAACTTCCCAGCATTTATGGAATCAGAAGGTTCATTACTGTGCTCACAATAGCCCTCTGCTGTTCCCTATCGTAAGCCAGATCAGTCCAATCCATACTATCCTATCCTATCTCTCTAAGATCCATTTTAATATTGTCCACCCACCTGCATCTTGGTCTTCTCAGTGGTCTCCTTCCTTCCGGCTTTCCCACCAATATCCTATATGCATTCGTCCTCGCTCTCATTTGTGCTACATGCTCTGCCCATCTCATCCTCCTTGACTTGAGCATTCTAATTTTGCTTCGAGAAGAGTACACATTATGAAGCTTCTCAACATGTACTTTTCTACACCCTCAGTCTGTGTTCCTCCCTTAAAGACAGAGACCAGGTTTCACACCCATACAGAACCACAGGCAAAATTATAGTTTTATATATTCTAATTGTTATGTCAGACAGCAGATGAGAAGACAGAAGGTTCTGAATTGGATGGTAGCAAGCATTACCGAAGTTCAGCCTCCTCTTAATTTCCTCCTGAATCAGGTTTTGATTTGTTATAGTCGTTCCAAAATATCTGAAGTGTGCCACATTTTCAAAACATCTCTTTCCTATCTTTATGTCATGATCTTGATGACTAGATAGCAACATATACTCAGTCTTCTTTGTGTTTACTTGTAGACCAACCTCCTTAGTACTGTTAGAGCTTCTGTGCTTTATGATATCTATATTATCACTCTGTAGGTTTTGTATGGATGTAAAACTTTGTCACTGACATTAAGGGAGGAACATGGAGGGTGTTTGAGAGCAGGATGCTGAGGAGTATATTTGGACCAAAGCGAGATGAAGTGACAGGAGGTTAGAGGAACTTCATAACTTCTACTCTTCGCCATATAATGTATGAATGATCAAGTCGAGGATAAGATGGGCGGGACATGTAGCACGAGGGTGAAGAGGAACGCATGTAGGATATTGATGCGAAAGCCAGAAGGAAGGAGACCACCAGGAAGACTAAGACATAGGTGGGTGGACAGTGGCAAAAATAGATCTTAGGCTAATAAGATGGGGTGGTGTTGACTGGATCGATCTGGCTCAGGATAGGGACCAGAGGAGGGCTCTTACGAATACATTAATGAACTTTCGGGTTCCATGAAATGCTGGAGGGTTTTTGAGTAGTTGGGCAATTGGCAGCTTCTCTAGAAGGGCTCAGCTTCACATGAAGTTAGTTACATATTAATGAACATCCAAGGAAATTTCTGCATATGCAGAGTGGGGCGCAGAAACTTCCCTTTTTGTGAAGACGCATTGTGAAGGGAGGGTAGGTCGTAGAAAAGTGGGGATAGGCTTGGTGAAGGCAGCAGTCACGGAAGTTTCAGTCTAATACCCCTCAGTAGGAAACATGAGGTGGACAAGTAAGCAGCGTGCGTTTGCTGTAGAAGCCTATTTTTCGAACCATTCCTACATGGCGGTGGAGCGTGCATTCTGTACTCACTTCGAAATTAAGCCCAGAGGTCTGGTTCCTGACTGGAAATCGATTGGTTTGTGGGTAGAGAACTTCTGGACAACCGGGAGTGTAGTGAAAAAATCATCAGGATGACAGTGGTCCGTTACGTCACCAGAAAATGTGGAGGCAGTTTGACTGTCGATTTTGAGATCTTTTTTGAACCAGTTTTTGAAGAAATGCATCTAGGAAATGTCTGGTTCCAACAGGATGGTGCTACGGCCCACACAGCCCGAGCTTCCATGACAGTTTTCAGGGCAAAGTTCCCCGGACGGTTCATCTCGCTTCAAGGTGACATCCCGTGGGCAGCACACTCACCTGATCTAATGCCCTGTGATTTTTTTTATGGGGATACCTCAAGGCAGAGGTTTTTAAACATCGCCCACAAACCTGCTTCAGCTGAAGAATGTTATTAGGCAGGAAGTAGCCTAAATTATGGTGCTCATGTTGGAACGTGCAGAGGGGAACTTTAGAAAACGGTTGCATCAGTGCATAGAGAACGGTGGCCACCACCTTCAAGATATTTTGTTTAAAACTACATGATATAAAACTTTAAAGTATGTTCTTTCATTAGCTAAACATAAATTTTGTCTATCAGCAATAATTTTCTTTTTTCGCTTCAAAAAGGATTTTCTGCGCCCCACTCTGTACATGAATTTTCTTGACCAAGTCACGGTTCTGCACTTCACGGTGACTGGTACAGGGACTGCTGTGAGGTGCATACAAATTTTGCCGATGAACCCATGTTCCCATTTCTGGTAATGTTCTGGAAAAAAGTAATTAGAATTCACAGAACACAAGAGTCCTTATTAACTCTTGTTTACATTATTTGTTGTGGATGGAGTTTCACCCTTTTAAGGAGATTTGGTTCAAGTGGCACCTTTGCAGTTTGAATTAACCACTGATAACCAGAACCCACTGCACCAATGTTGCATGCAGCATCCAGTGAAGCAGTGTTATTTGGGAGTTAGCAGAGCAGCCTCTGGGTGTGTTCCTTTACCATTTGATCTCATTGTGGCAAGACATGGACCAACACAGCAGAACAAGTTGCAGTTGCTTCAGCTATATTAGTGTGGTGTGGCAGTCATTTGGCTCAATCAGGAAGCAGGAAATCATAACATGCCTTCAAATGAGGCACAGTTGCCTGACACATATGCAACTGTTGCAAGGTGTTCCCTCACCTGCTTCTACAGAGTCTGGTGTGCCCAGTACCATGTCACATATCCAAAAGTAGTGGCCATTTTCTGACAAAAGCCAAACGTTTTCCTTGTTAAAGAGTGTTTCATGGAATCCTAGGTGATGATTCACATGGACTTGTTCATGGTGGCCATGTCTGTTTAACTGATGCTATTCTATTCTCTTTGAAGCCTTTTATGTAATTAGTTGTTTCAAGGATGTTACTGCAGGCTCTTTAGTGTCATTTTTAACTCAGACTTTTTTGTTATTTCATTGTATGATCCTATCCACTATTAACTGGATTCCTGTCCAGCCTTACAAATTCATAATATTTATTTAATTTTAGAATTTGTTAAACAGTGGCAGCATAACTTTTATTCACTCAGAAACCACCATACATTCTGATGGACTCAGGTACACACCACACAAGAGTGTGTGCGTTCTTTCCCTGCTCCTCTCTCTGTCACCTTTTTCACGCCTACCAATTTAACATCTCACTGTACTGGGGCTTCAAACTCATGTCTCTCCCTACTAGGATTTGCCATGTTATTTCCTCTCATTTTCCAAAGTACTTAGAGTGAACTGTATATGGTGAGGAGCAACAATATTCCTGCAATGAGCGTGGTGATTCATTTTGTTGCAACGTATGTTATGTCATTGGGTTTTCAGGCTAATCTAAAGACACATCAGGGCATACATAGCGAAGAGCGGCCATTTTGCTGCGACACGTGTAATAAGTCATTCAGTGACCAAAGATTTCTGGAAAATCATCAGCACATACATACTGGGGAACCATTCCGCTGCAATGTGTGTAATAAGCCATTCAGCAAGAAAAAAAGTCTGAATGATCATCAGTATATACATACTGGTTGGCCATTCTACTGCAACATGTGTAATAGGCCATTTGGTAAGGAAAAACGTCTGAAGAAACATCAGCGTATGCATAGTGGGGAGCGTCTTTTTCACTGCAAAATGTGTAATAAGTCATTCAATGATCAAAGCAGTCTGGAGATTCATCAGCACATACATAGGGGGCAGCCATTCCGCTGCAGTGTGTGTAATAAGTCATTCATTGAGCAAAGCCGCCTGGAGAACCATCAGCTCATACATAGGGTGCAGCCATTCCGCTGCAATATGTGTAATAAGTCATTCAAAAAGAAAAGAAGTCTGAATGATCATCAGTATATACACAATGGTTTGCAATTCTGCTGCAACGTGTGTAATAGGTCATTCAGTAGGGAAGGACGTCTGAAGGAACATCAGCGTGTGCATAGTGGGGAGCATCTTTTTTGCTGCAAAATGTGTAACAAGTCATTCAGTGAGCAAAGGCGTCTGGAAGATCATCACCTGGCACATATTTCAGAGCCATTCCGCTGCTATGTGTGTAATGAGTCATTCAATAAGAAAGAACTTCTGAACGCTCATCAGCGCGCACATACTGGGGAGCCATTGTCCTGCAGCATGCGTAATAAGCAGGGCCAGGATTTTGATGACCTAAAAATATTTAAAAGTGACCCATGAAATGACCGAAAAATACTGAAGAATTACTTAAAATTAAAAAAAAAATGGCTTAAAAATATATCATGGAAGATCCACTAATTTTTTTAAAATGTATTTAAGTTGTCTCATTCAGAGTTGCACTATTCATTTTTCTTGACATGATTTTACCAGTATCCCCTGACACTTTCTCCAAATAATTGGCTACTTTTTTCACCAGAGCGAGCAAATCAACTAGCATTGCTCTTTTCTCCTGCAAGCATTTGATTTCTTCTGTCAAGGAACTGAAATTTGCCATTATGGAGGCCAGCTGTCCTTCCATTTCACTGCACGAGAACTGCTCCTGACCAGCTTCAGTTGCCCTCGCATCCTCCGTCTTCATTGAATCTACAGTGTTTTTCACTACCTGAAATTGTTCACAATAGTTCATTCCACTTTTCCCATCTTGTGATGATGGGTTACAGGGACAGCGGAACACCAGGAACCATAGGCTTAAACTCCCATCTTATGAACTGGAGCCTTGATGAAAATCTTCATCCTCGATACAAGAGCATCCACTTGAGAAAAATTTGATCTCACTTCCTCCGTCACTCTATGCAGTGCATGAGCTAGGCAAGTATCATGCACCAATTTTGTATGAAATGACTTTATTGACTTGTCTGCTTTTAAAATATATGGGGCAGCATCAGTCACGAAAAGCAAGATGTCATCGTGTCTGTCCACAGTAGAAACATGAACCTATATAAGAGTTCACAAGTTTTTGACTAATTAACGAATTCGAGGACCTCACTCTACATACTTCACCTGGTCCATCAGTTTCCAAGGTTCCAGTGATGATATTTGTCATGTAGCAAGTCTTCATATTGCAGGTCTCATAAATGAAAACGAAAATCTTCCCATGCACTTTATTTCCGATTATTTCCAGGATATTGTAGCACTTGGAAAGGTAGTTTTTTTTTCTAAGAGTGGATTCATCTGGGTTGGAATGACCACAAATCACTTCCAGGGAATGTTTCAGTTTTTCATTTCTTCACAGCCCCAAATGAAATATTTGTGGACACCAGAGCATCACACAGATTTCTGAAAAAGAAGTCCAACGACTTATTCCCACCTCCAGACAAAGACTATTGCATTAACATTTGCACATATTTCTTTTTGTTTGAAATTTGCACAGCTCGTATATGCTTGTTGCAGCCAATATGTTGTTGTACCATGAATATTTTTCCTACTGCTAGTTTTGTGTCGCACATAAAATGTTATCGTCACTTGAAAATATATCATCTCCAAACACAACTACAGTCTACATAACTAAGTTATGTGAATCGAGAGAGATTCCGGCGAAAAATATTTATAACTAAGCAAATTGCTTTGCTCAGAACTTGAAAAGAGTGTGAGTGACTGTTATCATATGCTGTTGCCATCTTAAAATGATTTATGGTATATATTGTCAATACTTTCCCCATTACAAAGTATTATTGTATACTCTGGTAGCACCTGCTACTTGGGCTGCAGCTGTATGCTGCCTTTGTAGAGAGCTCTTATAATAAAGGCAGAACACTTCTATATTATTCACATTTCACAAAACATATGAATAAAACTTCCCAAAAACGTGTTAAATGACCATAAAAGAAACTTTGAATCCCCAAAATTTACTGAAAAATTACTCCCAAGCTGAAAAATGGCCAAAAACTTAAAAATTATGAAAAATTACCTGTAAAATTCACATTTCTGCAACCAGCAACTCATCTCTGAGATTTATATATTTAAGGGCATTGCATGAGATACAAAGGAAAAAAGATGTCATCAAACTCCAACCCCTGGTAAGTCACTCAGTAAATAAAGTCATTTGAAGGATGATCAGTGGTTACATAGTGGGGAGCAACCAATCTGCTGCATTGTGTGTATAAGTCATTCAGAAAGCAAAGTAACCTGAAGTCACATCAGTATATACAGTCAACTCTTGATTATCCGGGATAATGGTGGGGATGGAAATCACGATTAATCGAAAACCCGGTTAAGACAAATTTTATTAAAAGTAGTACTGTAATACTGTACCTTCATAATACTATAGGCCTACTTGTATTTAAATTTATTCAACCTCATTTTTATGTCATCTCATGGCCTATTTAATACTTTTTTTACATTATACTGAAGTATGAATTAGTT